TTTGGCTTGGTCAAAAGTGCAGGAGATATCCAGGTTTGAAAAGAAAATGTTCAATCGCATTGCGTCACATGGTACATTAGAACATGGCCCGACGAATCCCGTTCATTCGTCGATTATAAAAAAGCTTCGTAAGCATTGCCTATTTTTTATGAATCCTTATCGAAGTTAAACAATGTTGGCTTATTTCATCCGATTGGCACCGCGACCATGCTGCAGTTTGTAATGATATAGTTAGCTAACGGGCGGGACTAACTTTTTGAATGCTGTTTTGACAGCCTTCATTCCTCGCACCCGATTAACGGTATGTCAACGTTCTCTGTGATGTTGGGACTGATGTCCCTCCGGTCACAGATGTATTGAATGGGCATTCTTGTGCGCTGGTTGCTTACGGCTGCAAAAATGCATATGGCTTGTTTAGCCAAGGCCGATGAGCAGGCATCTCGCAACGCAATGTCACCATCGACAAACAACTGTTCTTTTCTCCATTGTGCCACCATCCCTCAGCGTTTCTTGCCTGAGATATACCTAAAACTAACTGCATTCGGGCCCAGTGACTGGGCCATTTTAGGCAATAATGGAGCCAAGACTGCGAATTTCTCCCAGCGCTCTCTAATCTGGCTATGTCAGTTCAAAACAGCACGTGAGTATAAAGCTCAGCCTTTTAGTTGTATAGTTACCAATGCCGCAAATTGTCACTCCCGTGGTAGTGGGGCGACAAACGCCCATGGAACGCCGTCCGTGACATAGAGAATGTATAGGGCGATGGCTTTTTGATAAGCGGAGTTCAGCAAGTATTTCCGTCTCGTAATGTTGATCCTCACAGTTCCAAACCAAGGCAGCGGCTAGGCTACGGAGCTACCGAAAAAGTTAAGAAATAAAGAAAAAGTCCAGTGCTGGTTCACCCACGTCCGTGGAGTATTCTTTATAAGGTCCTGTGTGGGAGTCACGAGTCATCGACCTACCTGGGTCGGATTACTGACTCTGTAACAGTCCCCTGTCCCTGAAGCCAGCCACGGCTCAGCACGTATGTGGCAGCGGATGGGCCCCGTCACGCAGGCGGTGTCTGTTTGGTTATTCTGATTTAGACCAACTGCAAAACGACGCAATGCGCTGGATCATTGTCACATCCGCATGTAAAGTATGCCGATAGTCCCCGTTGCAAGCACACGTGGTATATTATTCAGATGTGCCCTGACTTCCGCTCCTTAACGGGGTACACACCATTTTCAGGGACAGCCGCCTTTGGCGCTTTGCTTTGATCTCCAGAATCATGTATGTGTAATGGTATGCGGCAGGCCTATATGATCACCGTCGACTGGGATCAGTTTTCGTAACTGGCCCCTGATATGCGATCGCTACGATCGGCCTGAGTAAAGGCACACTAGACGTCGCCGTATTTGGCTGGGTGGTTTGGTAGCCACCCACGCAGCGTAGGCAGTTGCTGGTGGTGTCCTCGTCCGTCATAGCCCAAGTGAGCGGCGTTATTGTTTCAAGTTGTGGGCAGCATGCACGTTCCGGGTTCGTGACTGCACATGATTCGTGCCGTCGCGGTGGCTTTTATATGGTATGGTCTTTGCTTGTTTCTAGCATCTCCCGAAACTGATTTTAGATGTTGTGTGTTTGTTATAAGTTGAACTACATTGAGCTTTATCAAGGCGTGGTTTAGTGGACAAGAACAACTAAATAATACAGTAGTATGCCATATTACTCGTTACATGGTATCTTACAAGCACCTTATATATCAAAATAACCATAATGTAATTTTAAGTCGTGTTGTTTTGGTCCCTCTGATGATATGGAAAATTAAAGGGACAGAGCCGGTTGGTTGGTGGGGAACCTGACTGAATCAATGGCTGGAGGTCAAGGTCAGACATCGCGTCCAATGGGCTCATATGTGCAGGCGAAGCACATCGTTCTGGTGCATTCGGGAAAACGTTCTCCTGGTTGACAGAAATTTGAAGGTACATTTTCGGGATCCCAGAGAACCCTGACAGCGTTATCGTGATGATTGTTTTTGTGACTGGCAACTAGGAGAACTCCTGTTCGTTGACGGAAAGCCAAAGTGGTATAAAACGGACTCTTTAAACCTTGTCTTTAGTGGCTTGTAATCTGACCTCACTCTCAATGATGAAAGCCTTTGTTCTTCTTCGCAGAAATAGCCTTGGAGTAGGCGAACGGAAACAGTTTTGAGTGATGAACTGATATCAAATAGCATGCCATGTGGTAATGCCAGGAACTCAAAATGAGGAATCAAACGAAGAAAGAGCTCATCAAGGAGCGTAGCGCTCTCCTTAGGCGATCCAGCGTGTGCCTGTGTGTGATGTTGCAGTGCTGTCCGCCCTGTTTCTGACTGCATAATGATCAAACGATAGGTCTTTGGATCCTACAAATCATTCATGGCCCGCGGCTATCTTATTTGAAACAGACCACACACCGTTTTCAACACCCAAATATCAGACATACTTTTTTGGTCTGTCGGGGAGAGGAGTTGTCGGGTGGATAATAGACGACACCTTGGACCGGGAGGTGGGCTCTGCTGTACCCCCGGACGGTGATATGCCCAGTGAGCTAGAATCGCTTTCGAACTAGGATGGAAGTGAAAAATTCCATCGCAAAAAAAAACCGTCCGGGATTGAAAAATTCAATTTACAAAAGATGGAACTTATGAGCTTGTGGCTGATCCTTCAGCAAACAAAGACATCTATTTCACTTTGGCATGGACGTAATACCATAAACCTGACAAAACTGCTTTGTTTCTTAACATCTTAGGTCATTAAAGTGAAACATAATACATTAAAGCATAGCAGCTTCATGACAGTGCAATGGGCATAACAAAATTCATTAACACCAATAATTTGACGCTGTACTTTGCACTTCCCTTCCACAGCATTTGTAACACAAAACAAGGAAAAGGAATTCAACAACATCATCTCGAAAGAAAATTCAACAAGCATAAAACACTCAAACAAAAAAAAAACTTGGACTCCTGCACATCAGCCCATCTCCAAATCAAACAAAATACACATACCTCTTGCTTCTGTTAAGATGGGGTCAGGGAAAACAAACATTTTGTCCCTGTTTGTTACAAAATACCAATACTTTTTCCATGGAAGTAGCCTCACTATGCCTAACCTAAAGAGGCCTTACTTCATCTCATCCTGTCTAATCTGTTGGTATCACAGCAGCAGTTGTGAGTTAGTGATTCTTGCACAATTTCTATTGTCACTTGCCATGCACTTGACCAACTTAACCTAACTTACATTAGCCCATAAGTTGAACATCATCCGAACTCACCTATCTGTTGACAGCACACTTATGATAACAACATGATGAAGCTCATTTTTTGGCTGGTTTCAACTTGCATTTGTATTCAATTCATTTGTGTATGCTTGTTGACATCAGACAAAGTTGACATCACACAACACTTTAAACCACTTTGAACAACTTATTCTGATTTTCATGGTTAGCCTCTGTCAAGGGCAATAATGGGTATGCTTCACGAAACAATCGCTCTTCCCCAAAAGTAACATAACTTTTAGATGACCATGCCGGTTTTGCTGCTTGCCTTTTCAGCTGCAGCAAAGGCATCTATTTAGGCTTGTTTATTCATATTTAACGACGTAGTTTGAAATGTTGGCACCACATTTTAAATGGGATGGTCTGACGATTTGCTTAATGCTGATATTTACCTCATATTAAAATTTCTATGCAGCTTAGAGTATCCCAGTGTTAAAAATATAGTGCATATATACAGTACAGTCATTTGCCAGTCAGCAAACCATGCAAACTATGGAAAACATCTGAATAAAGCAACCATGAGGGACCACTTCACAAAATTGGGGGCAAAAATCAATAATATGGAACAGAATAACCCCACTGCATGACTTGTGGCATCATAATTGGTCTTATGACGAAACTCGATGCATTTAAACAGAAAATGGCTAACTCTGGTTGTGAATCATGTGTTGAAAGCATGTAAGGTAAGCAATTACTTGGCCCACAGGAGTCTTACTGGCTTTTTCGGGGCACAGTTCTTCCTGGTCCCCCGCAACAAAAAGTCAGTACCACAGTTTGCACACTTTGCTGATAGAGTCATCCCACTCACCCCCAAACATAAATGGCAATCACGTCCACCAACCTACGAGATTAAAATGCGAAACAAGTAAGAGGTGTGCATGATAAACATTTCCGGAGGACAGAGTTTCACCATCAAACACTTCTGTATTAGCTGCGTTAGTTCTGTTTCGAAGCTCTATATGACAGCATAAGGATAGTCTTGTCAGGGGGCCTGGTGAGTTAGACACCCGAAAGGCTAATATTTATCATTATCGAGCACCGCCATGAACCAAAAGTCTTCTTCATTCCCTGTGAATTGTTCACTCTTGGGTGCATATCAAATATGTTTGGGCGGCTGGCGAATTAATCCAATTTATGTATAAAGTACAAACAAGTTTGCAGTTTGAGGGTCTTGCAGAGAAATTGGTCAGCATTTCAAGCAACAGATGGTACCTCTAAAGGCAATGGGAGGGGAAGGAGGAATGAAGTGGTATTACACTCGTATGATACCAAGAAAAATAAAAGTAGTTAAATAAATATAGACTGGTATTTTTTGGAAAAATTTTGTTATCAGCTGATTTGACTTAAATATGTTGAAACAAGTGCTCATATGGTGATATTCATCTTGTAATTTTTCCACTCCTGCATTCTCGGAGTGATGCAATTAATGGTCAAGTTTTCTTCGGGTAAACGAAATACGTGGAGCAAAATTCTCTTCCAGAGCCTGCGGGTGTTTGCACCGGGCTCGTGCTTTCGCGGTGCGTGTGCGCCTGGGACAAAAAATTGGAGAAGATGCGTGTGAAAACCTTGCATTTGGCACACTGCTGCCGATTGTGGATGCACTTTGTAAACAAACCAAACTTGATGCGTGGCAAGCGGCTGGAGTCGCTGGGGGGTCTTGGGCTTGAAGGTACCTGCCGCCCTTACTCTGTGCATACATAGACATGATTCCGATGCTAGGTGAGGCAGGGCATAGCCATAGGTGTCCAGGTTCTGTGGAGCCTTGTTTATGCTTGATGGTTCAAGTGAGCTTCGGTTTTGCATGACATCTGAAAACGTCAGAAAAGGAAAGATGTGTCCGGCATGCGCGATTAGACAGTGTCAGGCAGGGAGTGAAAATTCCCATAAAACATGGGAAAAGGAGTGAAAAATTCCTCCTCATAGGGTGTTGCTTTACACCCAGTCGGCAATTCTAGGACACTGGACATGCCTCGATAGATAACACGGCAAACACCTGGCTGCCTGGAACACGTCTTCAATCAAAGTATGAAATACTGCCATGCAGACCTTTCTTCGCTTTCGTTAACTGAAAGCAGAGCACTCAACCCTCACATGCATACGCAAACCACACATGTATGTTCGCCCACTAGTAATGGGAGGAAAGAAGCATTATCGTCGATAGGGTGCACTGTTCTCGCTTCCTCTTTCGCATCTTACCAGCATTGGTTCGCAAAATGACTTCACAGCCAAGGCCGACGGCTATTCGTGTCTTGGTTTCAGGTGGGATCCGTGGCGGTAATTTGCTCATGCTGGCATGGGAGTGCTGGGCACTCAACCAAGTGCATTGGATGTGTGACTTGCCGGATGCAGCGATAATCCCGCTTCAAAGCCAATGTTAGCTTTGCTGGCGCTCTCTCAACACTTGGGCGTGAACAATGATGACCGGCATTGTTTGCGCTTGTCGTATCTGATCGACCATGCCACAAAGGACGATATTGCAATATCAAAGCAGCGGAACGAAGGGCACACAAACACAAAAACCAGCATGGATTACCTGACGAGCACAACAACCAAGCCCCAAACATCAGACAGCTCCACTACAAAAATGCCTGCATATGGCGGGAGAGATCCGGCCTTTGCAAGATTACTCGCCGTTCCGCCTGAGACGATAACATTTGCCCCTCGCTGTTTATCACCCGCTGTGTTGGAAACTGCTACTGGACTCACTTTCCTCCGAAACATAACTTTATTCCTCGGCCTCGGGGCCAAGAGAGCCGTACAGAAATAACCACAAAGTGAGCGTGCCTCTTTGTGGCCCACTCGCTGTCATGTGTTGATAACTGCGGTTAACGTTCAACATGTTTGTGCTGAGCACGTGTTCCGCGAGGCATGTTAAACACGGTACCGGTTGAGCCATATTCCCAGCGCTGGCTAGATATCACGTGCGAGTACACGCAGTGTGTTGCCAGCATCCGCAGCCCAGAGTCGTAATCGACAGCTAGCATACCACTTGTGTTCTGACGCGTGCTATGCTTATATTTGTGCAACTTCTAATCTCGCATTTGCACTCCTTAGCGCCGTAACGACGTAGCAACACAATGGCTCACCTTCTTAAAAAGGTTACATCTTGCTCGACCCTGACCCATTTGGTAGTGAACCCGGTGCCCACACATTGGCCTTGACCCCTTGCGTGGCCGCTTCCTGCCGATGTGTGCGGGGCATGACCTGCGCTGACCCGCTCACCTCTGCCGCAGTCCGCGACCCCAGTGACTTCAGCTCATGCGGTCCGCTGTGCCCGGCGTTCCGGCTGGCTTCGCGCTCCAACCGCTACGACGTGCGTCTGTACCCGCGCACCCTCTGGGTCAGCTACGTCACCGTCACCGAAAACCGGCTGCTGGCCGAGATGGAGGCGCGCGCTGGCATTGCAGAGTTTCTCGGCGGCAGGAACAGTCACGGTAGGTTTCGCACGTGGCATAAGAATGTGCTGCGCTGTGCGGTGAACTCCGCACTGTGCAGAGGTGCAGACACGTCGGCTGAGTTCAGCTTCGGCTAACGACATCAGACGATGGCAATGACCCTGAGGAGTTTATGACGTGACAAAACTCGTGTTGTTGATCAGGTCAATGCTCTGTAATCAATGAGTGATAAATGTGACGGTGGTCACCATACGGACCTTGCATATATCCACGTTCAGATTAGTCACGGTGAAATGTCTCAGAAAACTGAGAAAGAGTTCCAGCCATGTCTTACTGTGCACTCCTCAGTCCCACCAAGCCTCTCCGCCGACGAGGCCTCCAGCTTTCCTTCCCCTTAGGAAAGGCCCGGGAGATTTCAGCACGGTGCCGTCTGACACGGCGCCAGAGGGTGGATAACAGTGGAGCAGCGGCGGCACGGGCTCGGGACATGGCTGCGATCGACAGGCGCAGACATCTCAGCCACCGCCGCCCGGCCGCCGGCGCTGTTTGCTTTCTCGGTCAATCGCAGCCGCCGTGGTGACGTCAGCGGCTCAGCTGGCGAGCCCCGAGGCGGTCCCCGGGGTCCGGCTGGCTGTCCGCCCCCGGGGGAGGGGGGCTCGCCCACAGCCTCGCTGTAGTTCAGTGGTGACGGGTCTGGGGATCTGTTTAAGTGAGATCTCCCGGCTGACAGGCCTCTGGAACAGTGGCTTACAGGCCTCAGGAACAGTAGGCATCAAGTGCGCTGACGCGTGCTTGACAGTGGCCTTGATCTGGCCGCTGGACCGTGGAGAGAGCGTCTGAGAGGATGCGCAGTTTACGGTGCAGCAGCCGAGCTGGTGCTACGCAGTGCAGCACCAGTCAATGGCCATGCGTCCAAGAATCAGACGTGTTCCGCTCGATTGGAGAGCGTTGATTTCCTATCAACGGCTGTAACTCGTAACACCATTGTATCCAGATTTGTCGGGCTGTCGGTGAATGGTCGCACGATGGCACCGGCGCATGCAATGCATACACACGTGGCAGATCTTGTAATCACATCTGCATCGCGCGAATACAATTTTTATCGATATTGCACCCATTTGCCGGGGAGCATGTGGAAGGCGAGAAGGGCGCCGGGGGCATTCACGGTCACGGCGAGCACAAAATGTTAATCTAAGGGAAGAAAATTAAGATCGTAATGCCACCAGGTAAGGAGAAAGCCGTGACCCATGCCGTAGTTCTGCAACATCACACGCCCTTATTACGTTCTTGTTACGACAGCGCCCATGTTGACACTGTAAGTAGTTCAGCGTCAAGATGAATTGATACTGTCATTCAGTAGGCGTGGCGGGCAAACGGCCTGTCAACGCCGCTCCCGGCGAGTTTCTCCTCCGCCCACTCTAACTCAGGCGGCAGTGCGTAATGGCTGAGCGATATACCCCTCCCCCTCAACGCTTCCAATGCCAGCCGCTGACGCCGCTACACCGTCCCAACCCGGCCGCGTCCCAGTGGGCGGCAGCAGCGCAGGCAGCGACCCCGCATCAGCCGCGGCATTGCGCGGTTTCACTGCACGACCGAGAGTCTGTTCTCAGACCGGCGTGGCCGCCCGTCGGCAGTCTGTTCTCAGACTGGCGCAGTTCCCCGCCGGTGGTCTGGTCTCAGACCGGCGCGGGCCGCCCGTCGGGGGCCTCACTGCCGCCCGTCAGTGGTCTGTTCTCAGGCCGGCGCGGCCGCCCGTCGGTGGTCTGTTCTCAGACCGGCGCGGCCGCCCGTCAGTGGTCTGTTCTCAGGCCGTCGCGGCCGCCCGTCAGTGGTCTGTTCTCAGACCGGCGCGGCCGCCCGTCGGTGGTCTGTTCTCAGGCCGTCGCGGCCGCCCGTCGGTGGTCTGTTCTCAGACCGGCGCGGCCGCCCGTCGGTGGTCTGTTCTCAGGCCGGCGCGGCCGCCCGTCGGTGGTCTGTTCTCAGACCGGCGCGGCCGCCCGTCGGTGGTCTGTTCTCAGGCCGGCGCGGCCGCCCGTCGCTGCCTTTCCCGCTAATCGCTGACTGAATAACTCCGGCTGACACCGGACACGGGCCGCCGTGTGCGACCTTGGCCGGCCGGTCTCACCTTATACTGCTCCTGGTGCTGCGCCGTGGCGCCGCTCCTCCCGGTGGTGCTGCGCTGTGGTGCTGCTCCTCCCGGTGGTGCTGCGCCGTGGTGTTGCTTTTCCCGGTGCTCCGCAGTTGTCTTGAGATCGTTACCCATCATTTTGGGAAGATCAGCCATGACATCTTGAGTAGAACACTGGGAGTATCTTGGTAATAGCTACACACTTTCCAGACCCCCACATATGTGCTTCAAGTGCACTGATAATCATCCAGCACAAGGTTTGGCGCTATCCATACAGCTTACTCTACTGGCAAAGCAACATGAACAAAATAGGAAAATGAGTACATTTACTTGAATCGGCAAAGTAGTTTTTTAAAGAAATACAATGATGGCACGCGCACAGCATAATGTTGTTTTTGATTCATTCGCTCCTATTGCAGAATGCTTGTCGTTATTATTGATTTCTGCTGAACCTCTCCAGGCTTCCAAATGCAGAGCTCGCTAAAAACGCAGGGTAGAAGAAACATCGGACACTTGACTCGCTTCATTGGCACAAGGCGTACAACACACAACATCGTGTTCCTTTGTTACTTTGAAGTCATCAGTGGCTATGTTGATGTTGAATGAGAACCTCCGACTGCTGTCTTTGACAAACTATTTCAACATGACGTGCAGGTGTTGTTCCGTAACTACCATAACATATTTTGGAAAGACAGCCATCGCATGCTTAGGGGAACATCGCAAACACCTTGTAGGATGTCAATTGCTGTCTATGAACATTGTTACAGCAGTGGAACATGTCTTCTGAGTATTAACACAATTTCCAGTCTCCATACTGTGGTTCAATTGCAAATCATCGTCCAGGACAATTATCTATGCAATGAGCCATGCTGACATTGTGCACTGACAAAGCAAAGTAGACAGAATGGCCAAAAAGGCATATTTGCTCAATTCAGTAAAACATTTTTGGATGAGTGCGAAAATGAGTTAGTGATACCATGATTATGATGGTTAGAGTCGGTAGTGAGTGACTTGACGTGGGGGAAAGCTGGTATGCTCAGGATGAAAATATTTGATGACAAAATGAAGTAAAACATATTCATTTATTTTGCGTAATACTTCTATTCACCGTGAATGTGAAAATGAGCATCTTTTGCATTTGCGTATAATAAGGCATTGAATGTTGTCAGTACATGTGAACGTCTGTTATTATCGAAGCGCGCTGTGTAAGCATTTGGTGAGCAGAGCGGCGGTGAGACATGCTGTGCTTCACTTTACCAGTTGTTATGTCGCCGGTGTATATCTGTCTTACCAACGCAACCTTCGACGACACAAGCATCCAAGTAAACACTGCTTCCTAAACTACCCGGAATACCCTTCGAGCCGAGTCCCGTACTAAACGTCATATCAGGCGGAAATCAAAGTCATAGTGCGATGTTTCATTGAATTCACTTTATAATATTTTTTCCCTAAGTAGAGGGTTTCTAACTCTTATACCATTTATTACACAATGGTTTTGGCGCATTGGTGCATTGAGGATATCATATAGCTCACAGGTTGGAAAAAGCAAAAGAAAAAGGGATCATTTATTTCTATAGTGGCGAGCAGGGAGTCCAATGAGGTTTTCCAGTCGAAGCGGTTACTTGAAATCAATTTCTGAACGTTTCAGAAAGATTCCAAGAAAGCTGGCATTACCGATGAAATCGCACCCGTGTGACCAACTATGTGTGGAAGTACTTAGAAGGTGGGATGCTCCTTTCGATGCGCTTCGATCGTTGACTTGCTGTACGTCTTATCTAGCGTAAAACTAAAATTGCGGAACCTTGCGTAAGTCGTTCAATGCGCTGATACGCGCTTGTCGATGTATACTTCATGATATTCAATCTGTTGACAGGATGATGATAGCTGCTTTGATAAGTACTTTGCTTGCAACACAGCACAAGGCTGTCTGTGGGATTGAAAGTGCGCTCGCTCAAATTTCCAGTCAGTCCTATCTACTATCGCGAGTGCGGCGCCCACAACAGGCCACGCCATGCAAGCACGCTCGTACCAGATCCTGCACGTGCATACTTACGTGTTCTTTTGTCACGACACGCAACCGCGGTGGTCTCGTACAACCTCTGTCGGACCTTTAGCTGACCAATGACTGTGTGCCATTCCCATTCATCCGCTAGAAAATGTGAGCTCTCCATTGTGGTGGCATGAAGTCCGACCATACTCGGCTACCGGCACATGTCGTCGGCGCATTTTTGTCGACACTAATCCGTCATCCGCAGCTTTGCCGCTTCTTACGGTGTTCCAGTTGAAGCTGTCAAGGCTGGACTGAGCCTGTAGCGCTGACTGCTGAGTGCAGTCAAGCTGCATTGAGAGCGTGACTCACGCTCACGACCGGCCGACGTGTGTCTCCTTGCAGGGGTGGTGCTACCCCAGACATACCCGCATGTGACCCAGCTCCGGTACGGTCGCGTGCCAGGCCTGCAGAAGCAGGAGGCGGACTTCAGCGTGTCCGTTCCCCTGCTGGAGGGCACCATCCAGCCGCGGCCCGACTCCAATCAGGTCAGCTCAGGTTGGATCAGGTCAGGGCACTATCTGTAGCACTGCTGGCGGTCAACGTCCGGCCGCCCACTCGTTCCAGGCCACGTCGAGTGAAATGTCCATATCGCTGCTGGATGACACCGGCCGGCCGCGCTCCAGTCGGGGCAGTTTAGGACCGCTCCGGTCCGGTCTCGTCCGGTCACGTCCGGTCAGGTCAGGTTAGGTTAGGTCAGGGAACATTCTAAGCGCCACCGATAGAGGGCGCCACTCAGCCGTCACTTAACAGCAACCAGGTAAGTTCAGGTCAGGTCAGAAAAAGGTCAGGTCAGGGACGCTATATGCATCACCGCTGCTGGAAATTCAGCCGCGATCCAGATAAGTCCAAGCTGGGTCGGTCAGGTCAGGTGAGGGCAGGTCAGGGCAGGTCAGGTTAGGTCAAGTCAAGTCACGGTCACCGTCTGCAGCGCTGTTGAAAGCGGCAATGGGCACCATTCAGTTGCGATCCGATTCCAGTGAGGTCATTGTAGGTCATTTCAGGTCATGTCACGAGGTAGATTTAATGCGTCCTTCGTTTGTTCAAACCATGCGCCTTGAGGCTCAGTGAATCCATAACCTATCTGTACGGCATCGAACGTCAGCGAGCCGCCGTCAGCTTGGTCTTGTTTTGGCCGACGTCAGGCCGTCAGCACTGCTCACCGCTGCTCAGGTATGTATGTCGCGCACCGCTGCTCAGGACGTATGTCGCACCGCTGCTCAGGTATACCGCTGACACAGTTGTCTGTGTTTGGCCGACGTCAGGCCCGTCAGCACTGCTCACCGCTGCTCAGGTATGTATGTCGCGCACCGCTGCTCAGGTATACCGCTGACACAGTTGTCTGTGTTTGGCCGACGTCAGGCCCGTCAGCACCTGCTCACCGCTGCTCACCGCTGCTCAGGTATGTATGTCGCGCACCGCTGCTCGGGTATACCGCTGACACAGTTGTCTGTGTTTGGCCGACGTCAGGCCCGTCAGCAGCACCTGCTCACCGCTGCTCAGGTATGTATGTCGCGCACCGCTGCTCGGGTATACCGCTGACACAGTTGTCTGTGTTTGGCCGACGTCAGGCCCGTCAGCACCTGCGCACCGCTGCTCAGGTATGTATGTCGCGCACCGCTGCTCGGGTATACCGCTGACACAGTTGTCTGTGTTTGGCCGACGTCAGGCCCGTCAGCACCTGCGCACCGCTGCTCAGGTATGTATGTCGCGCACCGCTGCTCGGGTTACCGCTGACACAGTTGTCTGTGTTTGGCCGACGTCAGGCCCGTCAGCACCTGCGCACCGCTGCTCAGGTATGTATGTCGCGCACCGCTGCTCGGGTTATACCGTGACACAGTTGTCTGGTTTGGCGACGTCAGGCCCGTCAGCACCCCTGCGCACCGCTGCTCAGGTATGTATGTCGCGCACCGCTGCTCGGGTATACCGCTGACACAGTTGTCTGTGTTTTGGCCGACGTCAGGCCGTCAGCACCTGCTCACCGCTGCTCAGGTATGTATGGTCGCGCACGCTGCTCAGGTATACCGCTGAACAGTTGTCTGGTTGGCCGACGGCAGGCCGTCAGCACCTGTCACCGCTGCTCAGGTATGTATGTCGCGCACCGCTGCTCAGGTATACCGCTGACCACAGTTGTCTGTGTTTGGCCGACGGCAGGCCCCGTCAGCACCCTGCTACACCGCTGCTCAGGTATGTATGTCGCGCACCCGCTGCTCGGGTATACCGCTGACACAGTTGTCTGTGTTGGCCGACGGCAGGCCCGTCAGCACCTGATCACCGCTGCTCAGGTATGTATGTCACGCACCGCTGCTCAGGTATACCGCTGACACAGTTGTCTGTGTTTGGCCGACGTCAGGCCCGTCAGCACCTGCGCACCGCTGCGAGCTGTATATGCTGCGCGCCGCTGCTCAGGTATACCGCTGACACGGTTGTGTGTGTTTGGCCGACGTCAGGCCCGTCAGTACCTGCACACCGCTGCAAGCTGTATGTGCTGCGCACCGCTGCTCAGGTATACCGCTGACACAGTTGTGTGTGTTTGGCCGACGTCAGGCCCGTCAGTACCTGCGCACCGCTGCAAGCTGTATATGCTGCGCACCGCTGCTCAGGTATACCGCTGACACAGTTGTGTGTGTTTGGCCGACGTCAGGCCCGTCAGTACCTGCACACCGCAGCAAGCTGTATATGATGCGCACCGCTGCTCAGGTATACCGCTGACGCAGTTGTCTTGTTTGCGGACGCTGCACGACAGATACGTCAACACATAACAGCGCCCGCATCCCTGCCAGGCATGTGGCGATGCTCTTTGGGTTGGGTGGGTGCTGCGTAGTGTCCCCAGCATCGGTAACGCTCCTAAAATGTTTTTACCGGCGAACAAGGTTGCTGAGAGCTGCTACAGCCTGTAGCTAGCGGCGTTCCGCCCCCACCCCGCCGCCGTCCAAAGCCAATATTGGCGTTCGCCGACGCGGGTCAGCACAGCTGTAACGTGACGGCGTCTCGGGCGGCTGGGCGGCCTGACTTTTTGTCACGTTCGTTCGTTCTGGGCAACACCAGTGACCACGGAGCGCGCAGCTCAGGCCGGGCTTCACGTCTGGCGTCACTGGGATCCGTACGTTTCCATAGGGGTCAGGGCTGGCAGGCTGTCCGTGGGCTCTGGTGAGATCTGAGCTGTGAATACGGAATCAATAAATAGATGTTGCTATGGGTGAATGCGGTGCACTGTCGGAGCTGTGTTCTGATGCAACTGGCGTAGCATGACTTTCTGAAGTCCAACTTCCAGGCCCACTTTTTGTCGAAGAGAAGAGGTATTTTGGGTGCGTAACCAAGCTATAACAAAGCCCAGCGGGGGCCCGCCATGTCGGTCTCTAACCGACGGCCTCCTCACGCTCGTCAGCTGGCACGACGGCTACAAAACCGGAGCGGCCCGGCCGTCGCCGCCGCTCGTGGCTGCCTCTCTGATTCATGGACCGTCTGTTGTCGACCTTCACGGCTCAGCACGTGCACAATAGCATGAGGACGGCTCACTCGCCAGGCCGGCACCTTTGCGGGAGGGCATGCCGCCCCCCGCCGGTACCCGCCGCCGCGGCCAGTGACGTCACTGGTTCGTGACGCGCTGCGTCTGTCACGGCTCTGCCAGCGCTACGGTTGTAGTCATGGGCGTCACGTTGTCGGCTGCAGCCGAGTGGTGACCCCTGCCACGGTCAGGTCTTAACGGCCGGGAGGGCTGCAGAGCGGCGCCCTCGCTGCCGGGGTCAAGTCGGGCTGCCCATGACGAAGCGGCGGCACAGGGCGTGGGCATTAGCACGTTCCAGAGATTAGGTAGAAAGCCGCACAATCTAGGGGGCTGAATGTATTATTTGACGAAAGCCGTTTTCGTTTATTGCAAGCACTCGAAAACGATCATCTCGTGGCCAAAACCATGTGTATGTTGGTATGGTGTCGGCGTCTGCGTCACGACCAATTTTCGCCCACAAACAAAATGATGTATTCCGGGGAGACCTCCTTCCTTTTTTTCCCTCCCTCCCCCAATCTGCCCACCTTCTCTTCCCCCTCTCGTCTATCTCTCTTCTCTCTCTCTCTCTCTTCTCTCTCTCTCTCTCTTCTCTCTCTCCTCTCTCTCTCCTCTCTCTCTCTCTCTCTCTCTCTCTCTCTCTCTTTCTCTCTCTCTCTCCCTCTCTCTCTCTCTCTCTCTCTCTCTCTCTCGTTCTCTCTCTCTCCTCTCTCTCTCTCGTCTCTCTCTCTCTCTCTCTCTCTCTTCTCTCTCTCTCTTCTCCTCTCTCGCTCTCTCTCTCTCTCTCTCTCTCTCTCTCTCTCTCTCTCTCTCTCTCTCTCTGACGCCAACTGTCCAGCCCCGTCTCTGGTCCGTTCCTTCTTCCGACAACTATCTTGGTGAGCCAAAGCTGACAGTTTCTTTCAGTGAGATACGCATGCACCAGCCAAAAGCCAAGCCAAACTAAACGGTCAATGCAAATAAGCCATCCTAGTCCGATATAAAATACGTAGGGCTGAATTCATGCTTGCTACAATGTTTCGCCCGCCTAAATTTGTTCTCGCTTTGTATTGTGGATTTGTTTCGCTGGTTTTGCTGCTGAAAGCATCTACCTCATGCAATTTTCAGTCTTCCTTGGTGTGATAAGCAAGCTGAATTTTATGCTTACTCATCGGTTCAGAGCTCTTATGTTGAGTTAACGACCTTCAGTTTACCAGGATGTCCTGGTTGAACGACGTCATGGAGTCAACGCTGGTTGTAAATTGACAGGTACTGAACTTAAGTTAATCTGCTTAGTAGCCCGTAGCATTAAGTATGCGGTTTAAGTGATAATGCAACACATCCGGCTTCTATGAAGCCACGGATAATCACACTTTTGACACCTCTTAAGTAAATGACGCCGTAACAGGCCGCGGAGAGCATCGAGCTGCATGGGCCGCCACCTATCCGCCTGAAAACGCACTGATCGATGACCGGCCGTCCACCAGGTGGTGGTGGACTACGTGAGCAAGCAGCGCGTCTTCGTTACCTCGTTCTGGGCTCGGCCGTGGAAGCTGACGGACAAGACACTGCGGCTGCGAGCCAAGCGCTTTATCCGGCGACTACGCCGGCATGGCCACTCCTTCCTCGACAGCTACTTCTACCTGGCCAAGTATGACAGGTGAGTGTGGCGCAGACCCCGGCGCAGCGCGAGGAGCCAGGGGAGACCTCGGCACATCACAAGAAGTCAGGGGAGACCTCGGCGGAATGCGAGGAGTCAGCAGGGCGTATAGGGCTGACCAGTGAGACAAATGAGGGATGCTTGGTTGCCCTATTATAATTTTGAACTCATAATGGACCAGCACCTGCAAGTTGGTGGGCCGGGGACACTGCCCGCTGATAAATGCGTCACTCTACAAGCGCGTTATTTAACAAAACAGATAAACGCATCATATCACCACCAAGGTTGTGTTGTCAACCAATGCTTTTTCAAACAAAACCGACCTTTCTAAACTTCCAGCACGGAGTCTCGGAAGCGTTCTTTCTACGAGATCTGGCTGTACAGCACGCCGTTTAAGAGCAAGAAGCGGTTCCAACCAACGGGCAAGCCGCAGGAGCCGCGCCCTACCAACCGCACGCTGGACACCATCCGCCGACTCTGCAGAGGTATCACTGACACCGGTGCCGCCCAATGGCTGGTGGCTCTCGCTGAACAGCCTGAACTGGAGTTTGAACCATTGACTTGTCTTTTCCTATTGTCCCTGTTTCCTTTTTCGCTTTACTTGCTTTATTTCAAATCCCTGCTTGCCTCCGAATTTATAGCAATAGACTTAAAAATCGGCTTAAAGCTCGAGCCAACGTGGTGCGTGGAAGCGGCCTGCTGCTTGAAACGTAATCCTGCGCGTAATTGACAATTTTACGTGACGTACTCTAGGCATCGATTCATCCTTTTCGATAGACCCCAATTGGTGAGCTCTGCACTTTGGCTGCGGTGTCGGAGGTAAACGGCAGTTCCGTCGCCGGCAGGTCTGGAGTGTCCTCAATTTGAGGTGCTGTCGGAGCACAGGGGCGGGATTCAGAAGCGGCACTACTACAACGCTGTGTTCGCCACATCTCGGATGGACGGCTGCGACTCCAGCATTCAGGCCATGTGGCGGGGACTGATGCCGCTTCACCTTTACAGGCAAGGTCAGTCACGTGCCGGCCGATGTCGGCAAAACTTTTCCGTTTTGTAAGAAAGCATGGTTTGAACAACCTGACTGTATTATGTGCTGGTGCTATAGAGAATGTCCCATCTGATGTAAATGACGTCAGGTAATGGTTTTTGGTACTGCAGAGGGTGTCCATTTTGCCATTTAAGGTACAGTGGATGATCAGTGGATTATTTCTTTTGAACAGCTTGTTTGTTGAATGTCTTTCCCTCAGTGAGGGCAGTGTACAAGCCACTGTTTGGCACCATCATCATTTTGAATCACATCGTACCACCTGAAAGCATGTGATAGCGCTGCGACTTTCAGTCGTGACCATGAAGAAGTTCGACACGCCCCGTCTAGTACCGACATTTAACCGTTAAACCCTTGACACTTGATTTCCTATGACACTTGATTTCCTAATCCTACACTTGATTTAAGTTATCCAACACCGGTGTGCAGGAATTAACTCACACCTGGAGGTGATAGAAGCCACTCGACCCATCGGTGTGCTGCGCGTGCACGAGGCCGTGCCGGCCCGCAACACCAGCTGCCGTATGACGTCACTCATGTACCTGCCGAGACGGCTACATCAGAACCCGCCCAACACTGGTCCGTCGGCGGTGAGTGTGACGTCAGTGGTGGTAACTAACTCTCCGAGCGGTGACACGAGAACCCGCCCAACACTGGTCCGTCGGCGGTGGCTGTGACGTCAGTGATGGTAACTAGCTCTTTGAGTGGCGACACCAAACGCACCCAACGTTGGCTACGTGGTGCTGGGTGTGACATCACAGGTACCTGTTCTTACGTATTGGATAATGCTGCGTGAGAGATGTAGACGTCTAAACGCATCAAAAACCGATGCAAATTATGTCTTGCTAAAAATAGAACAGAATAAAACGTGCATTGGCGATACAGATGTTGACTGACGTTTTTGTTGTTTTGGCGAGGTCATGATCGCAGCTGGGTTCAGCGGAAATGTAACAGAGTAGGTCTGGATACGCTACATGAAATGTGATCGAATTGACAGGGACGTTTATTTTGGTTGAAATGTGACCGTTATCCCATGTACACACTCGGAGCTTATTTTTTGGGAGCTTTGATCGGTCTCCGTTCCTGACAGTTCCGCAATATTCCCACCCCTGCAGCTCTAATAAATCTTTTGAATCTCATTCGTGCAGCAGAATCGATATCAACATTTTTACATATGTTGCTTTATTTCAATTCGCCACTCTTGTACGTAAGTTGCAAAAATTACTCATGTATGTATTCACATTGCAACACATAGAGGCCGCTTCATGCCACTCCTTATCTGTTGTTTCGATCTGTTCTCTGTTACTGTCTTCTGCCGATATCCGCTTTCAACTTCAGCCCCTATTTCCCGTTGTTTCCCACTGATATCTCACCCCTTTCGTCCACGTTCCACCACTGTCCACCGCCACCCTGTGTTGCCCAGTGCCCTTTGTTTTAAACTCCTCACTGCCGACCGCTGCTCCATGCTCTTCACTACGGCCCATTGTGACTATGCGATACTGTCATACATGCCGCCCAACTAAGGTGCCTGCCTGTCCCAGCCGCAGGCCGTCCTCATTCCCCGCCCGTCTGACGTACCCACACGTCCCTAGCCGCCGCCCGTCCTCATTCCCCGCCCGTTTGACGTACCCACACGTCTCCAACCACCGGCCATCTGACGTACCCACGCGTCCCCAGCCGTCGCCCGTCTGACGTGCTCGCCCGTCTCCAGCCGCCGGCCATCTGACGTGTTTGCCCGTGCCCAACCGTCGCCCGTCTGACGTGTTACGCCAGTCCCCAGCCGTCGCCCATCTGACGTGCTCGCCCGTCCCCAGCCGCCGACCATCTCACGTGCTCGCCCGTGCCCAACCGTCGCCCGTCTGACGTGCTCGCCCGTCCCCAGCCGCCGACCATCTCACGTGCTCGCCCGTCCCCAGACGTCGCTCATCCCCAGCCGCCGCCTGTCCCCTGCCGTTGTCCGTCTGACGTGCCGCTCGTCTTCAGCCGCCGCTCATCCCCAGCCGCCGTCCGTCCTCAGCCCCGCTCGTCTAACGTGCCCACCCGTCCCAGCTGCCGCCTCTCTGATGTGCCGCCCGCCGTCCCCAGCCGCCGACCAGCCTGGCGTACGTGCACGATCTGCATGTGTACGTACAGACGGTGGGTGGATTCGTGCTCGAGCCAGGCCGCGTGGCGGATGAAGTGACGGCGTTCCGCGCCGAACTAGACGCGCTCCGGCTCTGCTACAGGCCCGACCAGTACTTCGTGGCCGTGTACGACTTCATCCAGCGCTATCACGGCCGCCTCAACGAGGTCTGGCTGGTGGCGCGCCGCTGCAGGGGCTGAGTGACGAGGCTGTGGAGCGCTGACGTTCCGCACGTGGCGGCGCCACCGTTGTGGCGCCACTGTCCACTGTGGGAAAATTGATGGCGCCATGGTCGGTGGGAGTTACCGAACGCTACGGTGGCGGTGGTATCGTGACATTTGATGAGGTGGCGCTGCAGTCGCAGCGGGCGTATAGATGACGCTGCCATCTTGCGTGCGGCCGGGAGCGGTGCTGCGAGATGATCTTGGTGATGTTTACCGCGTCTTATGCTGAGATGGAACTCGGCGCCGTGATGGGGAGTTTGTCTCGTGAGGTTTGGATAAAGATACAGATGTCAGCTGACGATGCTGATTGAAAGGTGCATTAAAAGAGTCCCAGTCTGAGTGATGGTCGGCGACAGCAAGCCGACAGCATAGAGTACAGGTTGCAAACAAGTGAAACAGGTGGCAGGTGTGGGGAGGATAACGGAGACTGATATAACATCGGAGCTGTGGTCTGGCGTGATCTTAAATGATGTGCCGCATGATTTGCAACATAAGATCATATGGAACAACTTGACTAATACGTTGTGAAGCCCGTGACCAGGGGCGTTGCCGGTCCCAGCAAGAAGGGCTATCGACACACTGTAATGTTGCGGTGCGCCCCCACCTTACACTTGGACGGTGGTCTGATTATTGGAGTAGACTGACCTTTCTAATCAGCTGTCTTGTCCGCTCACAGCAGCAGTCTGTCTCTCTCCCAAAAAACATCGCCTTGCCCTCTGGCTTCAAGTTCTGGCGACGCCCCTTGGTTGTGGCTCAATGAGGCGTCTGTGTGCACTGGCGGAAGAGCTTCTTTTCAATGTTGAAGGTTAAGCTACCGCAGAATAATTTATGCAGTGATCTGTGATTAGAGCTACACATGGTGTCATTATCTATATTTTCAAGTGGAACGACGTATGAGGCATATGGCTCTGCACACGTGAGGTTTTATAATGCGCGCTTGACATGAGGTTAGGATGAATAGGAGAAATGATTAATGGCATATGGCTGCTCGAAGCTCACGTGCGTTATGGACGTAAATAAAGATATGGTTCGAATTTTTGTCACTCGGGAATTGCGCGAATTCCGACTTGCGAAAAGTTGTATAATTGTTTGTTGCAATATGGCATATAATATGCATACTCAACGATGATATTGGCAAAGTCTAGAACATTTCCCTGAATAATGTTACGCCATTCAAAACGCCTAGACTGCAGTAACCTTTGCCTTGGGCGCCCTGAAGGCAAGCGCTGGCACATGCCATTCATTCTGCGACGTAATTCAATTTCCCATGTGCTGTATGAATGCCTCCTTGATAATGCATTCGATGAGGTCTTCAACCCCATGACTTTTCTGATGGTGTAATCACTGAGATTGTCCCAGAAAACCGTGAAAACCATTAGAACAGAATATCTGCCATGCAACGCCACAAATCATCCAACGACATGGTGGTGCGTGGAGAGGTCGCGCATTGGCTTCAGCGCGGACTGTCATGAACGAAGTCATAAATAAATGGCCCAGGATGGTAGGATGCTTAAAATTGAGATAAGATCCAATAAATCTAAAACGTTGGACGCAAAAATTAAATAGAGTTGCACCGATCAAGAGGACAGGAGCCAGTGCCACCGGGTGAACAAGGTGGGCTGCCACCCACCTAGTCTGGCGATAGACTGGGTGAACACAGTCTTTGCCCACGCTGTCATGTACATGGTCGGCAGCAATACGTGCGGTTGTACATGGTCGTGGTTGTAAATGTTCGGCGGTAGAGACGAGGCAAGGAAGGTCCGGTCATGATCAGGAATGCAACGACGCTATGATCTAGAAGAGCTCCAGTAATAAAAGAATGGGTTTATTCAGGGATAGCGGTGCTGCACGAGCTCCATATCTGGAGTGAAAGGAGGCCGTAAGAGGCCGTGAGGATCTGAAGTGTTTGACGCTGAAGGTCATTGTGATATTCCAGAGGAAGGGCTCACTCAGTAGGTACATAGTATGTACGGTAGTGAGGTGCCTCTTTCTTTTCTAAGCTGCAACGCATTACACGGTATTGTGCTGCACTGTCCAGCTTTGGACATCTGCACGGTTGGTGGCTATCACCGTCCAGCATCAAATAGTCAAGAACGTATAACACTGGCAATGGATCGAGGAAACCACGTGCTCGAATAACACATAGTTCACAAACGTTCCAGTTGATTGTATGAGATACGAATGTTCTCGTAGGCCAATCCCAACACTGTACTGGTGGCTGGAGGAGAAAGAGGGAGGAGGGGGGGGGGGGGGGGGGGGGGCTCGGGCGCGGCAGTGCATCACACATTGCAGGCGCTCACGTAGCATCGGCGCCTGCCCGTGTCTATTGGAGACAACGGCGCGTGCAGATGGTTATCGCGTCTTGCACTCCGCTCATGACAAAACGAGTCGAAAAGAAACCTGCTGGTGGGAATGTCAGGTTAGCAATGACGTGTAAGGTCTTATATGAAGGACGCGGCACATATTATCTGTGCATCTCATCCGATCACGTCCGGCCAAGCCTCCGTAGCAGATACGGGCCGTGATCGAGGCTGCAACCGACCGCAAATAACCTGACATGGAAAGCTGTGCATCTTTTAAAGTGCATCTAGGTGTTTCTTTGGGCCACTTCCGAACACCGCGCAACGTTGCCGGAATTGCCACAGAAAAACGATAGTGATGAGGATTTTGTAGACGGCTGCAGAGGTGTGATCTCTGAGATGCCATGGACCGGTCCACGCTCCATAGCAACTCCGTTCCACGCGCAAAGGATGGCTGTTCCAGGTGAGAACATGGCGAAATGAGACACGTAGGCTTCTTATTTCCGCGCGAGGAGGAAGAGCCGAGGTGGAATATGATGCAATAATGTCCGGAATGTTTCGCCTACTCAGGCGAGCTCCGAAGGCTATAGCTTGGGTTTTATTGGCGCTGATTTCTAGAACGTTGGCGCGAAAGCACGGACGAAGAGACGCTCAAGCTGCCTCGATCCTCCAAACGATGTCCCGCCGGCAGTACACATTTCACTGACAGCGAGATGAGTGTCATCAGTGTATCATGATCAGATTATTCGTAAATAGCAAAAGAGCTTGTAAGCCTGAACACCCTCATGTCGTTCTACAAAAGCCTTGATGGGGGCTTCTTGCCGGCGCTTTCAGGAAAGCTGACGCGTCGGGCGTTCCCGCATCAATACAAATGCAGCGTACAACCATATGCATATAAAAATGCAGCATATGCCCAAATCATATGACTACAGTAACATCGAAGTACTTGAATTTTGGATGGATAACTGCTGATTCATCTATGCGAAAGCATGCCTAAAAAAGCAGAGCTTTCACTGAGTACAAGTCTCATTTGTAATTTATTGCCTATTGTAAGAGTGCGCGATGCAAACCCACGGCTATCTCGCGCCACTTTGGCAGCGCATCAATGTAAATCTTGGGCCAAGCTGGTCTTACCCACCAGCATGGGCCACCTAAGTCCCGCCCTTGGCATACACCCCGCGTTAAGCATGCACAAGGCGTGCACGTGACCTTTACACGGTGCAATGCCTCAACCAGACTACGCCCCTTGTACCAGCCACTCAAGCACTACTTAGAATTCGCCCCCGCGAACCACCGGCACGAAAGAAAAGAGCACAGAGGAGTGGGGCCTAAAAAAGACATGAGCTGGCGTGCGCGCTTTCAGTATCTGCTGATCTTCCTGGGCTGAAGAGTCTTTCCGGGCACGGTGCTGATGCAATGATGGCTTAATCCACTGCTTGGAATGGATGTGTCGCGAATTTGAAGACATCCAAGAAGGTGTGATGTCTGCCTCCATGCAGGTAGAATTAGTGTGTTTGGGGGAAGGCCCACAAATCTGGTGACTGCTCATCTCCAGGAGGCAGCTTTTCTGACAATTTCGCATGCAGCCAAATCCAACATCTCAGAAACCGTAATTTACGTTTACGTTATTGTACGCTTAGAGTAAACAAACAAATACCGTCCGCATCGTCAATAATGATTGCGAACTTTCAACTCTGCCCTCACGTTATAATGTTCACGCCATTCCCAAAACATACCGTTAACGGTGCTTGAACTGTAACTGTAATCAGATTCGAGGAATTGTATGGAAGCATTTTCGTCGAGCCTTTAGCAAAGACGAGCATCTAGAGCCGGTCTTGGGACTCATATCCCCGTCCCCATCGCACGATACAGGCACGCATGCGGCTCGGGCGCCCCGGCCGGCGATCAAAGGGATCCACCGTTCCAGGAAGTGTTCATGACGTGAGCTCTTCTGCGGGGCCGCGTGATCCCTGACCCTCCACCCAGTCCACCACATCACCCGCCCACCCCTTGCTCCGATTACAATTCAAATTTGTTAAACAGGATGCCGGTGTTTCACGCAGGGCACTTTGCCATCGAATGCTATAGACTTCCTGGCCTTCGAGATTCATGAAGTCTTCGATCAGCGTCTACCCCCCCCCCCCCCCCCCCCTGAAAAATAAAGGTCTAAGCAACAGATCCTATCTCAAACAGTTTCGCTGTCTATAAAATAACACCCGCATGTGGTAGTCTGGCGCGAGTAGGGCTACCCCAGAATGTGGTCCATCCCTCTGCGTCAACAGCTGCAAGGGTCTCATACTGTTCCGCGAGCTGGCCTGTCGCTGGCCGGGTGTCGACTGGAACGCCAGAACTGGAGGGGATACGAGAGGGTCGTCCCAGCTCTAGTCCCACCGGCTGGCCGGTATCTGGGCCATGGTGGAAATGGAAATGCGCTTGTGAATGATCATTATCGTATTCGATTTATACATGAACATTAGTTGATGTAAGCGCAAAAACTCATGAATTAGTCACACCAACGATGGGATGACGGTTCCTGTCATGACGGTACCAGTCGGCCGTTCGTTCGCGGCGCGTGCTGTCCCATATGCATAGTGCGCACCAGCCGCACCAGATCAGCTCAAACACAGCCCGGGTTTAGAGAGCACCGGCCGAACCACATCAGCTCAAATGCAGGCTCTCCTCTGT